TCCAGGCCGCCCCGAGGCAGACCATCGGGGGCTGTTGCCCACCGTGCTGGGGCCCTGGTGGTGGCGTGTCCAGCCGCCAGGCCAGGGCAGCGGGCGTGGATGGGGGGCTAGTTGCGGGTCGGTCAGGCGGGGGCGGGTGGGTGGGTGCCCTGTCCGCCGCCTTCGTCAGCAGCCTCATCGTGGTTGTCGAGCGAGCCTCCAACACCAAACGGGTCCTCGTCGTCGTCCTCTCGTTGCCGTCGTCGAAGTAACTTCCGAGGTATTCGTCAAAAGGGTCGTCGTTGTCGTCGTCGTCGTCGTCGTCGTCTGGGACCCCGGCACCGTCAGGGCCAGCCTGGTCGCTCGGCAGCGGAGGTGGCCGCGGTGGGGGTCCGAATGGGGTTGACCGGGTACCTTTTGGAGAGGGGTGATGGCCCATGGCCCGCAACTCCCCTGGCGTGTAGACTGCACGGCGGTGCTGGAGCGGAAGCGTAATTACGGTGCCGCTTGTCGTAGATGGCTCTTGTGGTGGTGTACAGGGCCACAGCTAAGCGGGTGACGGTACTTGGCGCGTTTGGTTGCCTCCTGAGCGAGCGTATGTTTAGGGGGCCACACGCGAACCCTACCCCTACCCACCACGATTTCTGAGGGGGATGGTGGGGTTCACTTCGTGCGAGAGTTCCCGAGCGAAGTGAACCCCACCCTCCCCCTCAGAATCGTGGGGGGTAGGGGTAGGGTTCGCATGCGGCTCCCTAATGTTGGAGGACAGCCAGCGTGCCAGATTCGTCGGCCTTGCGGGTTAAAGCATTCGGCGGGGACTGAGATGAGCCCCAGCTCATCGCCGTCGTCTCCGAGGTGGCTGTAAACTGGTCGACTTGGAAAAGTCAGGCTTGAACCCCCGAGGACACGGCGGGTCTGTGCCCAAGGGTCCACGTGGGCACCCACGGGAGGGGACGGATGGCGACGGAGCCCTTCACGACCACCGCCTGGCTGTCAACGAGGACGTGGATTTAAGGCGCTCGGCGGTGGCCACGAGGCGGAGGAGGACTGGGGCCTCGGCCCGCTGGACAGACATGGCCAGCCCGTGCCGGCGCGCAGCATGGTTTTCAAGCGGCGCCCAGCGCCGTAAAAAGACGCCATCGGCGGCCCTCGCCAGCAGCGGGTGGGCCTGGTGAGTGCAGGCTCCATCAGTGGCGGCATGCATCCAGCGGGCTTGAGCGTGAGGGTCTTCGTGTTCCTGGAGCGGGGCGTCATCGGGCCACTCGGCGGGCTGTCGGCGGGACAGACTGCGGCAGGGGGTCGCGGGCGAGCCCGACCTCTTGGTCCAGTAGGTACGGGTTCTCCTCAAGGATGCCGCAGTGGCGCGTGCGGGGTGGTGAGTGTTCTCCACTGGTCGTCTGTGGCCAGGCTGGTGAGGCCTCGCGCTCAGGAGCTCAGCAAGGGCAGCGCCAAATTCCGTGTGTCCCTGGGTCGCCTCTGCTTGATGAGCCTGTTTTCCACCACCACCACGATAAGTTGGAGGGGGGAAGGAGGAGGAGGAGGAGGGCGAGGAGGAGGGGGATGAAGAGGAGGAGGAGGAGGAGGATGAGGAGGAGGAGGAGGAGGAGGAGGAGGAGGAGGAGGGGGAGGGGGAGGAGGAGGAGGAGAATGAGGATGACCCCCCCTCCAACTTGTGGTGGTGGTGGTGGAAAACGCGCTCGTCATCTGCCGGGCGTGATCGCCCCCCGCACAGCCAGTTGCAGGGGAGGCCCTCCTGCCGGGCAGAGCGTCTGTCGGGGGCCACATGCCAACCCTACCCCTACCCCCCACGATTTTTGAGGGGGAGGGTGGGGTTCACTTCGCTCGGGAGCTCCCGCACGAAGTGAACCCCAGCCTCCCCCTCAGGAATCGTGGGGGGTAGGGGTAGGGTTCGCGTGTGGCCCCCTAGTCTGGCCTCCCCTCTCGTGCGGGCCGCCCAGGCGGTGGCGAGCGTGCCGCTGCCCAGGCGGGCCGCTGGGAGCGCGCCGAGATCGTGGCGTGCGGTGGAGCTGCTGCGGGCTGCGGCGCGACCCGGCGCTCCCATCGCGCCGCGGGCCGCGCGCTCGCGCGAGTTTTGGCCCGCCCCCCAGCGCCGCCCTGGAGGACGCTTGGCATCGCTCGGACGTGTGCATTTTTCCTTCGGCGAGGACCATCGAGGAGCATCCTTGATCATCTGGCGAAAAAACCACGCACGAAACCGAAAAAAGCACAGTGGATGGACGTCCGAGCGATGGCCAGGACACGTCGACCGCGGAGGCGGCCAGGCCGCCCCCTAACTGCCGCAAGCGCACCCAGCTGGTCCCCTGCGCGAAGGAGCCGATCCACTGCCCCGGGCGGAATGACATCCACCGGCAAGCTGTTCGGCGGCGAGCGAAGGGGGGAAAGGAAGAGGAGGAGGTGGCGGGCCTTCTCAGAAGCCCTCGCGCCTTCTGAGAGGTTTTTGGTGTCTTCGGGGAGGGCTTCGAAAAACGTCTCAGAAGGCCTCGGGACTTCCAAGCCTTCTGAGACGCCGCCGAACCTGGCGCCGCCGAACCTGGCGCCCCCGGTTGAGAAGAACCTTGCGCCGGGCAAGGGCCTGCAGCTCGATCGCGTGGCCGGGCGCACAGGCGGCGGGGAGCATCTCGAAGGGCCATCCACCATCGTCGACCATCGTCCCCTGGGCCGAAGGGCGCCAAAGAGGGCGGCGCTGCAGACGGCCCTGCGTTGCCACAGCTCAGGATAGGAAAAAAACACGCAGACACAATTAATCCTCGATTCCTCAGAGAATAATGGAAAATACGGGAAGTGGGGGGGGGGGAAGACAGAAACACAGAAAATATGGGAAAGTATGGGGAATCTTTTTATTGAATCGCTTCGCTCATTCCGCCGGCCCGTATTGTGCCATCGCGGGTTCTTGGGGGTCTTGGGAGCCCTTGGAAGCTTCGTGGGAGCTTCTTGGGAACTTTGGGAGGCCTCGTGGATGGCTCTGGGTGGGCCCTCTTGGTGGTCTCTTGGGGGGGTCTGCCTGGCCTCTTGGGGGCCTCCTGGGAGCTTCCTGGGGGTCTCTTGGGGGCCTCTTGGGGCTTTCTTGCGGCCTGTTGGGGACCTCTTGGGGCTCTCTTGGGGGTTTCGTGGGGCTACTTGGGGGCTTGTAGGGGCATTTCGGGGGTGTGTTTGGGCGGGAGGCTCAAAATTTTCGTTCAGGTTGCCCCTGTGGACCTCAGTCATGGGGCCGTCTTGGGGCCTCTTGGACCGTTTTGAGGGTTTCTTGGGCCTTCTTGGAGCGCTCTTGGGCCGTCTTTGAGCGGTCTTGAGGGTCTCTCGGGCCGTCTTGGGGTGATCTTGGGGGCCTCTTGGACCGCCTTGAAAGGTGTGAAAGACGAAGAGGCGGATATGTTAAAAAGGCACGCTTTCCTAAGGGAATGAGACGGTTTGTGCTGGTGGGAGCCCTCTTGGGACGCCGCTTAGAGACCTCTTGGGGCGTCTTGAAGGCCTGTTGGGCCGTCTTGAGGCCATCGTAGGCGCTTGGGGGTGATATTTCGGCGTCTCCCAGCTCTCTTGGACCGTCTGGAGGGCTTCTCGGGCCCCTCTTGGACCGATTTGGAGCCCTCCTGGGCTCCGAAAAGGGACCTTGCCGGGAGTCTGCCGGGACCTTGCCGGGGTACTTTTCGTCCGGGGACCCCGCGCGAACTAGAAATATTGTTGAGCAGTTACCGGAGATCTCAGCACGCCTCTGGCCCGTTGGGCCGGCGAATTTGTGTGTATGTATTTGTGTGTCCTGGGGCCCCTTCGACAGCGTTGGCCGGGGGTCTGCACGTCGGTGCCCGCGGTGCACGCGCGCGGCCCGGGCTTCGCCCGCCCACGCTGGCGGGGAGCTGGCCGGCGCGGGGCAGGCGCTCCGTGGCCCGCGTGGCACGGCCAGCCGCCCAGGGCTCGCTTCGACTCCTCCGAGTCGATGCGTCCCGGTTTCGCTCGTCTCCGGTTCCAACTCTCGGGGGCGGAAAAGAGGGGGTTGATGACTAGAGGGGGTGGATCTCATGGCGGGGGCCATGATATTTCCCCAGACTTCATGGCGCCTCTCCTTATTCCATTACGTCCCTGGCCCCCCCGCTGGGCCGCGCACATGCCGCCGGTCATGATCTGCGCCCCCCCCTCTTGGACACCCCCCTCTTGGCCGCTCCCGACGACTCGATTCGGCTTCGGACTCCGATGCGGGCTCCGATGTCTCACGGAGGCCTGCTGCTCATCCTGCCGGTGTCCGCTGGTTCGACGTTTCCCGACGCGGCTGCTCATGTCCCCCGATCCGACTTGTTTCGATTGCCGATCCGACTTGTCGATTCGATTCTGGGCTCTCCTGTCCGCGGGGGCGTGGAGGTCGGGATTCGGCACGAACAAAGTGGGTAGGGAAAGAATGGGTACAAAGTCCAACAGTTGTTCTTGTTCATTCTGGACAGGGTTCCCTGTCCGCGTCGCCGCGGTCGTTGCCTATTTGAGACAGAAGGCCGCCTGCCCAACAGCGGCCGCTATCGATATGGGACAACATGTGTTGTTGGGCATCGAACCCATTTTTTCCGTACCCACTGCGGGCGTCCAAAGAGATCTTTCGGGGCGGGATCGGGCGCGACATTGATGTAGCTACCGAAGAGCTTGACTTGTGCGGGTGGGTCATTGGCGGTGTGCCGAAGACGAATCGGAGCTCAAGAGACGGGGGTCAATGCAAGCGGGGGCCAGTTTGAGCGCCGGACCTTGCAGGATCCTGCAGAGCCAGGGGAGCACTGACCCGGGTTAGGGTACAGGATCTTGCAGGATTCTGCAAGGCCTGACTGACCCTGGTCTGGATTGGCCCGGGTCAGCAGATCTCCGAACGAAGGACGAGGGTTGAGGAGGAGGAGGAAGTTTGATGATGATGGAGGGGGATCAGGAACATCAGCATAAGGGTGATGACGACGAGAGCAGTGCTTGCAAGTAGGTGGGAGAGCGCGAGGACATTGTGGGGTCGTTGTTTCCCTCGCTTGGATGGCGCAGGTGAGAGCGACTGGAACGTCAAGAACATCTTCACTGGGTCGTCGCCTCCCCCCTCTTGATTCAACGTCCGTCTCCTCCAAGTCGATGCGCCTTCTCTTGTGCCCCACACCTCTTGGAGGGTAGGGCATTGTGGCGTTGCTCTACGGCAGGTCTGCGTAGCTAACTTGTGCACTCCTGCTGTCTCAGTCGAAGGCCGCGAACAGCTTTGTGCGTGGCAGTGGGGGCCTCGATTCTCAAGGGCAGGGCAGCCTCTCCTTCTCTCTCTCTCTCTCTGAACTTGTAGCTACGTGTATACACACACACTTGTATATTTTTATATTTATACACCCTAAACTTGTAGCTCCTTTTCTCTCTCTCTCTCTCTGAACTTTCAGCTCCTTTTTTTTTTTTGTTTTTCTCTTTCTTTCTCTCTCTCTCTGAACTTGTATATATACACACACCCTAAACAGTGCCTGCACGTGCTCTAAGGAGCTGGGCCGTGCAGACAGCCTGGCTCCTGCGCACTCGCCATCGCCGCCCCATCGCCGCTTCGCCGCCGCCCGCAGTCCGTGCCGCGTGCCCGGTCTCGCGGCTGTGTGCTCGCCGTCGTCTCCCCGTCGCCGCCTCGTCGTCTGGGCCTTGTGTTGCAATGCGATCCAATCGATTGCAGTCCAATCTGTTGCGACGCAGCCGATATAAATCCAAGCGATGGTTCACGCCACATAGATAAGTACGTTGGCTCCTATCACATGCATGGCATCACATAGCTTACACGACACAGCTCACACCACACAGATGAGTACCTTATCGTTTACCGCGAACATATAGTGGACCTCGTCGCGTGCACGACCCCCCCCCCCCCCCCCCTCCCCCCTTCCCCCCCCCACCCCCCCCCCCCCCCTTTCCCCCCCCCCCCCCCCCTCTCCCCCCCCCCCCCCCCCACCTCGTCGCGTGCACGACATAGCTCGTCCCACACCGATGAGCACGTTAGCTCCTACCACATGTATCGCACCATATAGCTTACACCGCGTAGCTCACACCACATAAGAGGACGCTAGCCCGTATCACATGTACCGCAAAATATAGCACCACAGAGATTGCGCCACCTATATTGCACCACAGGCTAAACAACATATATCGCACAACCTATATTGCGCCACGTGTCATCACAACATATGTGGAACGACATTAGGTCGTGTCATATAGATTGCACCACATCGACTGCACATCATATATTATATCACGTAGATTTTCACAACATATATTACTCCACATATATTGTACAACGTAGATTTCTAGAAACAGGCTCTGCGGGGTCCACGATGGCTAACGTAGATATGTGACTAGACATGCGCATATGCCTCTGATGTGTCTGAATCTATTTGTCGGGTTCGCTCCGAGGCGCCGAGAGGGCCTCTTGTCTGTTCTGGTGTGTCAAAGTTGGGGGTTCCGAGGTGGGCCGATGTGGACCTCAGCGACAACGGCAAGATCGAGGTCCGACAGTGCCTTCTGCCTCTGCGGTCCACTGGCTCCGTTGGACAGCGAGAGGGCGTACTACAGCCACTGGTGTAATGAGGAGTGGGTAGCGCGGCGGAGTGGCAAGGGACAAGGAAGGGGGGATGAGTGAACGGGGCGGATGAGCGCACGATGGATAAGAAGATTGTCCGACGCGCCTCGTTCTTTGGTTGTCTCTTGAGCCCCAGTGCAGGCCCTTGCCGGAGCGCGCAACGCATACCAAACTTCGCATGGAGCGGAGAAGGGGAAGGGAGGCCGCCCCCCTTGCCGGCCCCTCGGGGACCATCCCCAGCCGCCGCGCCCCCCGGGGACGGAGAATGATACTGTTCGAGCGGGGCGCCCTCTTCCCGGCACGGTGTCCAGGTTGCGCCCTTGCAGTCTCGCCTTTCCCCCCGCCCCTCCTCTCCCTCCCTCCCTCCTCCCCTCCCTCCTGCCTCCTTCCCTCCCTCCCTCATCCCTCCTCCTTCCTCCCTCGGACGAGGAGGAGGAGGAAGAAGAGGAGGAGGAGGAGGAGGAAAAGGACAAAGAGGAGGAGGAGGAGGAGGAGGAGGAGGAGGAGGAGGAGGAAAAGGACAAAGAGGAGGAGGAGGAGGAGGAGGAGGAGGGAGGAGGAGGAGGAGGAGGAGGAGGAGGAGGAGGGGGACAAAAGAGAGGAGGAGGAGGAGGAGGAGGAGGAGTGAGGAGGAGGAGGAGGCGGTATGAGGGAGGAGGAGGAGGAGGAGGAGGAGGAGGAGGGCGGGAGGCAGGGGAGGAGGAGGAGGGGAGGAGGAGGAGAGGAGGGGAGGAGGAGGCACTTATTTATGCTGCTTCTTGCCCTGTGGCCCTTCTCCCCTGTTCCTGCGAGCGTTTATGCCCCCCCCCCCCCCCGGGGCCCCTCCGCTCGTTCGCCCGAGGCGCTTGAGGCGGGCAAGATGCTGAAGGACAACGGCTTCAGGCCAGAGCAGGGCCGCTGAGCAGGGGGGAGGATGCAGCAGGAGGGGGGAGGAGCACGAACAGCAGGAGGGGGAGGAGGACGAGGGGGAGGCAGAGGAGGGGGAGGAGCATGAGGAGCAGGAGGACGAACAGGAGGAGGAGGAGGAACAGGAGGAGGAGCAGGGGGAGGAGGAGGAGGATGAGGAGGAGGATGAGGATCAGGATGAGGATGAGGAAGAGGATGAAGATGAGGATGAGGATGAGGAGGGAGGAGGCGGAGGAGGAGGAGGAGGAGGAGGAGGAGAAAGCGACGCGGGAGGAGGAGGATGGGATCAGAACTGGCAGTAGGATCGGGGATATAAGTGGAAGACGGGTGTGGGAGACGAGAGACATTTGCGTGGTGGATTGGGGAAGGCGATGGGGAGTGGTGGCAAGGGAAGACATTGAATTGAATTGAGGGAGGGGGGAGGAGAAGAGCGGTGAGGAGGGTGAGAAGCATGATGAGAGCGTGGGTAAAGAGCGGGAGAACATCTATGAGGGGCGAAGGGGATAATGATTATGACGATGATGATGAGGATGGTGGTGGTGGTGGTGATACTGATCATATGATGTTGTTGTCGTTGTTGTTGTTGCGACTGCTGTTGTGTTTGCTGTTGTTGATGATGATTGTGGCATCGATGATGTTGGTGCTGCTGAGTTGATGCTGCTGATGATGTTGATGAGGATGCTGATGATGATGCTGCCGATGATGTTGATAATGATGATGATGATGATGATGATGATGATGATGATGATGATGATGATGATGATGAAGATGATGATGATGATGCTGATGATGATGATGATGATGATGATGATGCTGATGATGCTGATGGTGATGATGATGATGATGATGCTGATCATGATGATGCTGATGATGATGATGATGATGCTGATGATGATGATGATGATGACGATGATGTTGCTGCTGCTGACGATGACGACGAATATCATGAATATGTTGATGATTATGCTGCTGCTGATTATGAGGATGAGGATGCGGATGATGATCATTTCGATGCTGCTGACGATGATGCGATGCTAATACTGATGCTGCTGCTGCTGATGATGATGATGATGATGATGATGCTGACGATGCTGATGATGCTGATGACGATGCTGATGATGATGCTGATGCTGTTGATGATGATGCTGCTGCTGATGATGTTGATGATTATGCTGTAGATGATGGTGATGATGCTGATGATGATGCTGATGACGTTGCTGCTGATGATTATGATGCTGATGCTGTTGATGATGATGATGATGATGATGATGATGATGCTGATGCTGATGATGATGATGGTGATGATGATGGTGATGATGCTGCCGCTGCTGCCGCTGCTGCTGCTGATGTTGAGCCGATGATGCTGATGCTGATGATGATGCTGATGATGATGATGATGATGATGATGCTGGCGATGATGATGACGATGATGATGATGATTTTGATGATGATGATGATGGTGATGGTGATGGTGATGGTGATGGTGATGATGATGATGGTGATGATGATGATGATGATGACGATGATGCTGATGATGATGATGATGATGATGATGATGATGATGATGATGATGAGGATGCTGATAATGAGGATGATGAGAAGGAGGAGCAGGGGGGAGGAGGAATGGGGGAGGGTAGTCAGGATCACACAGGCCGCATGGGGCTGGGTAGCTGCCGGCCTCAGGTTCGACATTGTCTTCACGTCAGCGCTCAGGCGCGCTATCAGGATTGCTCCTGCGGGCTCTAGATGCTCTTTCTTCTTGTGCGTCCGCTCCATCAAGCTCTCCAGCCACTCGCGCACTCCACGCCTTCTGTTTCTCTTCCCCGTGTCGGTCTCCTCGTTGTCGTCGTCTTGCTCCTCCAACTATACCTCTCCCCCGATCCTCCCCCCCTTCCCCCGTGCCCCTATCCCTTTCCCTCTCCTGCTCCTCCTGCTCCTCCTCCTTCTCCTCCTGCACCTCCTCCTCCTCCTCCTCCTCCTCCTCCTCCTCCAGCTCGTCCTGCCACGCCTGCGCAGTCAAATCAGCGTTTCTCAGCGAAGCGTGCTGGAAACATGACGCTGGGCGCTGGGCATGCAGCAGAAGTGAAGGTGGCAAGGAAGGATGGGTGTATTGTTTTCCACGCGTCGTGGTAAAGCATTGCCAACGTTTGGCGTCATGTGATTCCGCCTCTGGCTCCTCCTCCTCCTCCGCCTCCCAAAGATCCATGCGGCTCCTCACAGGGTCCGACCCCCGAGCTCAGGGCTTCTTCTTCTGACTCTTCCTCCCCGTCGCAGGAGTTGCTCCACGATCGCGCCAGCTTGCGGTGCCGCAGGCCCCAGCTCTCTTGTCTGCTGGGCCGCGCGAGGGGGGGGTCGCACGCGTAGCCCGCGGACAAGGTCCCTTCTTCTGGGCCTGCGGGCTCGCGGGGGGCGAAATGCCGAGGCAGGCCATCCCCTGTCCCGGTCGCCCCGCCCGCCCCGATCCCCTCACCGCCTCTCCGTTCCCCCCCCCCCCCCGCATCCTGCCCCTCGCCTCCCCGCGCTCTGCTCCGATCCCCTTCCCCCGTCCTCCTCCTCCCCCTCTCCTCCGTCCTCTCCTCTCCTCCTCCTCCTCCTCCTCCTCTTCTCCTCCCCTCCTCCTCCCCCCCTCCTCCTCCTCCTCTCTCCTCCTCCGAAAACCTGGGTCCTCGGACCTCGGGTCCCGAGCCCTCCCCGAGCCCTCCGCCGCCGCGGCCCCGTCTCCGCTGGGGGTGCGGCCTCGCTCCCTGCCTCCAGGCCCCCCCCTCACCCCCTCCCCCCCCCCCCTCTCCCCCCGCCTTCCCCCCCTCCCTTTGCCCTCCCCCTCCCCCTCCCTCCCCTTCTCCCCTCCCTCCTTCTCCCCATCCCTCCTTCTCCCCCCCCCCCTCCTCCCCTCCCTTCCCTCCCCTCTCCTCCCCCCTCTCCCTGCTCCCCCCACCCCACGCCTTCCCCCTCCTCCCTTCCCGCCCCTCCCCCCTCCCCCCCGCAGGACCGCGTGGACCGCCTTGATGGAGTCGGATAACTTCTCGATGCCCATCATCAACACCTGGAGGCCCCCGCCTCGGGAGGAGGGGGCGGGGAGCACGGCGGGGGTGGAAGACAGACGGGGAGAGGCAAGCTGGGTGCGCTCGCAGCATATCTGACATCCTACCCCTCCCATCCATCCCTTCACATTGCGCTGTGTTATCTCTATCCGCCGACGCGTGTCATAGCGGACCTGGAACTCCAAAGAATGTCCCATCGTGTTATGCGCAATCGGAAAGATGAGTTGCGTACATTGGCGGAGGAGGTGGCAGATGAGCAAGAGGATTGACAGGAGGAAAAGGAGGAGGCAGAGGAGGAGGAGGAGGAGGAGGAGGAGGAGGAGGAGGAACTAGGAGGACGAACGGCAGTAGCAGGAGCAGGAGTGGAAGGGGCGAGAGGAGCAGGGTGAGGGGAAGGCGGAGTAGGGGAAACGACGGGGCGCTTACGATGAAAAAGAACTCGGGTCCAGCAACGTGACCCGCGCTGGGGCGAGAGCGCCATTCTGAACGACGGGAGCAAAGCACCAGTCCGAAAACGTGGCCCACGCTGCAGAGTGAGCACCAATACAGTACGAGGGGAGAGACGACCATCTTCCTGATAGGGCCACGGGAGAGAGACTGGTGGTTTTCATGATGTGTGGTTGTCGAGGGCGGGCGAGGAGGGGGGAGGGGAGGAGGAGGAGGTAAGGGGCGAGGGCGGAGGAAGGTGGGAGGGCATGCGGGAGGGAAGGCGGGAGGGCATAGGGAGGGGACGGATGAAGGGTGTGGAGGGAGAAGGAAGGGACGGGAGTGGAGGAGAGACGGGAGAGGGGCAAGCGATGTACGCTCGGATCACGTATGGCGTCCAGCCTCGTCCGCCTATCCCTTGTCCGTGCGTGTGTCTTTCCGTGCTTGCCCAATCGGGTGTGGAAGCGAAGTGAGATCCGAAGATGCAAGTGTGCAGTACTTGAGCTTGTCAACTGTTGTGCAGCAGGCGGGGGTAAAGCGAGGGATGCCAGACGGGACAACAGGGAGGGTGGGGAGGTCGGACGATGTCTGGTGGAGAGATGGTGTGAGCAATGGAATGACGCCCTTCGGTATACGTGGAAACCCGTAGTGCAGTTGTGAGCGGAGGGGGAGAAGCAGTAGGAGGAGAGAAAGAGGGGGAGGAGGGGGAGAAGGGGGATCAGGGAGGAGAGAAAGAGGGGAGAGTAGGAGGAGAGGGGGAGGAGGGAGGAGATGGATGGTGATGATGACGAGGACAGGGTGGAAGAGGAGATTGGGAATAAAGAGGATGAGGATGAGGATGAGGATGAGGGTGAGGGTGAGGAGGAGGAGGAGGAGGAGGAGGAGGAGGAGGAGGAGGAGGAGGAGAGGAGATGAGGGTGAGAGAGGAGGAGGAGGAGGAGGAGGAGGAGGAGGAGGAGGAGGATGAAGAAGAAGAAGAAGAAGACGAAGAAGAAGAATAATAATAATAATAAGAGGAAGAAGAAGAAGACGCATAATAAGACGAAGAAGAAGAATAACAATAAGAAGAAGAAGAAGAAGACGAAGAAGAAGAATAATATTAAGAAGAATAATAATAAGAATAATAAGAATAATAAGACGAACAATAATAATAATAATCAGAATAAGCAGAATAATAATAAGCAGAATAAGAAGAATAAGAAGAAGAAGAAGAATAATAATAAGAATAATAAGAAGAATAATAATACGAAGAAGAAGAATAATAATAAGAAGAAAACGAATAAGAAGAAGAACAAGAAGAATAATAAGAATAATAAGAAGAATAAGAAGAATAATAATACGAATAATAATAATAATAATAAGAAGAAGAATAAGAAGAAGAAGAAGAGGAGGAGGAGGAGGAGGAGGAAGAGGTGGAGGAGGAGGAGGAGGAGGATGAGGAGGAGGAGGAGGAGGAGGGGGAGGGGGAGGAGGGGGAGGAGGAGGCGGAGGAGGAGGAGGAGGAGGAGGAGGAGGAGGAGGAGGAGGCGCGATCGCCTGAGCCCGCCTTTCGCAGCACAGGGCGGCCGAGGCGGCGCCCACGCGCGGCGCCCTGTCCGAAAGGAGGACGGTTCGCCCGCGACGTTTCCCAGCATCGGCCAACCTACGATCGAGGATACCGTGCAGCCCGACGATGCCCTCAACCCGAAGTGGCGGCGATGCTGCGGCTGGCGCACACCGTGCGTAGGACACTTCCGCCCGCGGCCGCGGACGTCGTCACGGTGCTAGTGGCCATGACCAAGCAGGACGCCAGCACGAACACCCACGCCTATGCCTACCACTCGGAGGGTGAACGAAGGGGTTCGCAGCATGGAGTCTTCAATGGGTGCTGAATGGCCCATCTGCGCATTATGCGTCGTCCATTTAAATCCGCCCGTATGTTTATCAACGCGTTGGGATTTTGAGGCAGGAATGCAATGCTCTAGAATTGTCCGTTGGTGGTAACGCATCGCCAAGCCATCGCTGCCCGCTTTGCTACGTCGCGGGCCATCGCCCAGGGCGCATTGAACGTTCGGTACGATGTTCCAGAATGGGAGTTCACATTTGGCGTCTCCCCAACATCTGAATTCACATTCTGCGTTTTTCCAAAATGCGAGTTCACATTTCCGGCCTTCTATTCAAAACGGATGTCCCAACCGGAAAATGTGAATCCACATGTTGTTTTCCACAATTCGAGTTCACAATTTGCGCTTTTCAGAGCGAGAATTCAAATTTCGGCCTGCTGTTCGAAATGAATGTTGAAACCGGAAAATGCAAGTTCGCATTTTTTCCAACATGTGGTTTAAATTTTTGCGTTGCTCCATAATGTGAAGTCAATCTTGCGTTTGCCCAGATTGTGTTTCTTAGGTTTACGCCACACCGCCGACCTCTTGGGGAACTGGCGGTTGTGGTGGCTCCTGAGAGCCTCTTGGGCGCATTTGGGGAGCTTTTTGGTGTCTTTTTGGGCGCTTCATGGGGGGCCTGCGGGGGGTCTCTGGGGCCCGAGGGCTCGAAATACAGGCTCGGGTTCCCCTCCGGGGCGCTTCTTGAGGCGGTGTAGGGGCCATGTTGGAGGCCTCTGAGGCCGTCTTCGGGGCCGTGTGGGGCTCTCTTTGCCTGTTTAGGGGCCCTCTTGGAGGCCTCTGGGGCCGTCTGGGGGGATCTTGGGAGCCTGTTAGGCCGTCGTAGTGTGAATTCAGATTTTGCGTTTTGCAGCGCATGGATCCCGATGCTTGTGCCTGCGACAATTGCTGGGCGATGCGTTACCGCCAACGGACAGCACTCGAGCGTCGCATTTCTGCCTCACTATGCAGATCGGGTGGGAGACCTTAGAGGGCGGGCCGGGAAGGCGGGCCCATGCGAGCAGGCGGGTTGCTGAAGCGTGAGTCCTGCATGAATCGCGAGGAAATTTCGAGCGATAGCGCGGCTCCCACTTAAATCCTGAGAAATGCCAGCGCGAGAGCATGATTCCTGAGTGTCGAAGGCGCGGCGTTTGAGTACATCGAGAGGAAGTCCCATGCCAGAGCGCGAATCGTGCATACAGTGTGAGGAAGTCCCGCGCGAGAGCGCGATGTTGGAATACGTTGTGAGGAAGTATCTGGCGGGAGCCGTTGTCGTTGAAGCCGGTGGGGGCAACAACGCAGAATGAGCAGGCATAATTCCCTTGGTAAACAGCCAGGTGCGAACCTCGAGAGGGGATCTCAATTGAAAAGACATGTTCATCGGATGAGAGTTCAACAACAACAATCCGCACCGCGGAACCCGACTTCAGCCACGCACTCAGGGACAGTGTATGACCGTTCGGCCTCCTTATTCTGATCATCAGTGCGGGAGATGGCCCACTGTTTCATCGTGCCCAAACGCGGTTCCCAGTATTTCAACGCACCAGATGATTTGATTATTGAGTCACGAAGTTCTTAAACCATGCCAGGACACCATTTTTGAGAATTCGACACCACGAATCCTCGATATTGTTGCGTCTAGACAACCCGAATCCTCGACACGACTGCAAAATGTTCAAACGAACGCGCGCGGCGCGAAGGCGATCATCGCGACGGAACCGCCCTCATCCTGGAAGCCATGTGCGCGATGCTACGTTGAGAGCCACATTTTGAACAAGATCATCTTGACACGGTTGCGAACTTTTCAGACGAATTTGCACGGCGCAACGGCGATAATTGCATTTTGGACAGGACCTGCGCTTCATCTTGAAAATTGCCGCAAACCTTGCAGACGAATGTGCGCAACGATACGGTGAACGCCGAATTGTAAAACATGGCCCGCCTTCCATCCTTAACACAGCTGCAAACGTTTAAGACGAATATGCGCAGCGCCATGGCAAGAACAGCGTTGTGAAAACGACCCGCCCTCCATCCGTGAAGCTGTGATCAATATCAAGCTTCAGGATCACAAGTGTTGAGGAAGTCTCAGGCGAAACGTCTGGCCTGTCCTACTGACACATCTAGGTGCGCGAGGGGGGAGCTGTTTATATGGGAAACAGGAGGAGGAGGAGGAGGAGGAGGAGGAGGAGGAGGAGGAGGAGGAGCAGGAGGACGAGGAGGAGGAGGAGGAGCAGGAGGCGGTGGACGACGGGGGTCGGGGGGAACATGTCATGTCGAGCAAGAAAACCCGGGTTGGGTGAGGAGCGGGATAGGGAGTGGGACGAGCAGGATGAACAGGAGGAGGAGGCAAAGGAGGAAGAGGAGGAGGAGGAGGAGGTGGAGGAGGTGGAGGAGGAGGAGGAGGAGGAGGAGGAAGAGTTGGAGGAGATGGCGGTAGCGGCCCTCGGAGGCTCAACGAGAGGCACTATGGCGGTCTGCAGGGGCTGAACAAGGCCAGCGCTGGACTGGCCTTTGCGCTCTCTGCGCCACGCCTTCCCCTCCCTCTCTCCCTCTGCCGGCCCCCCTTCCCCCGACCTCCCCTCTCTCGCATCTTTGCCCCCTCGTCCCTGGGTCTCTGCCCCTCGTCTCCCTATTCTTCTCCCTGTCCCTCCCCATTCTCACTAACTCAAAACAGACGCCCAATCCCAAAAACGCGGGGGCCAAGGCAAAGCGCAGACACCTTGAGATTTCGGGGAGGGAGATTTTGGGGTAGGGTTTTACCAGGGTGACGACGACGAACGCAACACATACCCCGAAATCTTTGGCCGATCTTCGAATCCTCGGCGAATCCGCGATTTTGGGATTGGGGATGTGTTTTTTCGTGGTCACATTCCCTTCCCCCTCTTCTCCCTCTCCCGCCGTGCCCCCCCTCGGGTCACCCCGCTGCGCAGGGGCATTGCGGCCAGTTCGGCAGGCCCTGGCAATGAGAACGCCCTTGTGCGCAGGAAGCGGAGCGGGGGGCGTGGCTGAAGGGCTGTGCCGGGCGTAATACAGGGGGGTGAAATCCGGCATTGCACGCTGGTCGCATCCAAGATCGCTGCTTTAAAAGATGCGGATGAGAACATCGGCGGGAGATAAGAAGAGTTCTCTCTTTCCCTTTCTCTCTCTCTCTCTCTTTCTCCCTCCCTCCATCTGTCTGTCTGTCTGTCTGTCTGTCTGTCTGCCTGCCTGCCTGCCTGCCTGCCTGCCTGCCTGCCTGCTTGCCTGCCTGCCTGCCTGCCTGCCTCCCTCTCGCGCGCTCTCTCTCTCTCTCTTTCTATAGTATTCGCTGTTTATTGCCTGTGTACACGTGCATCTATGTATGATGATGTAGGTGCCAGGTTGATGAGAAGTAGGAAGTTCCAAGGAAATACGTGAAGATAATATACAGTTGGAATTTGTTTGAGGATGTTGGGGAATGGGTTCCGCTGTACCCCTTATCCAATATCTTGTCGTCGCGTCCTTGTCTGCATCCCTTGTTGCGTCCAGGTATAACGCTCAGATTCTCTGTTTTGGTCCCGCGGGATTAGTTACGAAGGGCAGCTACACGCAGATGGTTTGTACACAGCCCGGCATTCGAGCCCGCGTTCGTGGTTACCAGACTGGCGCCGCAGCCAACCATGGCTGCAGTGCCCGGAGGTAGATCATCCGGAAGGAGGAGGAGTACGATGAGGGGGAGGAGGAGTAAGAGGAGGAGGAGTAGGAGGAGGGGGAGGATGAGGAATCTCAGGGGGAGGAGGAGGAGGAGGAGGAGGAGGAGGAGGAGGAGGAGGAGGAGGAGGAGGAGGAAAACGAGGAGGAGGAGGAGGAGGAGGGACTGAGCAGGCGGAGAAGGAGGCACTGCGGGCGTGCGGTCAGGCCGAGACCGCAGAGAAGCACGGCGACAAGCAGGCCTGCCGCGGCGCCCCGGCCGCTGCAGCGTGCAGCGCCGCGCCTCGGGGCGAGCGCTCGGCAGAGGGCCCCGTCGAGGCCACGGCGGCTTCTCTGGGCGTCTTTGGGCTTTTTGGGGTGTGGCCTCCTGTGGAGGCTCCTCGTCGCCGCGGCTGGGGAGCCGCTTCGGGCCACGGGGCAGGGGGAGCCGCTTCGGGCCGCGGGGCAGTGAGGCACGACGACGACGCCGACGACGACGACGACGACGGCGGCGACGAGGGGCCCCTTTGGAGCGGACTTGGGCTAGGGTGTGAGAGCTGCCGTTGTCTCCACTGGCCCTCCTCCGATCCCTCTCGCCTCGCGCGAGGCACGCCCAGGACTCACGCGCAGTCCAGTCGTTGCGTGTGGGGCCTCCCGGGGGCCTCTTGGGTGCCTTCTTCATGGCTTCTTGGGGCCTCTTGAGAGCCTCTTGAGAGTCGTCTTTCGGGGGTGGACAGACCTCCTACTCTGACACGTCGATTGAGGAATCGGCCGTTTTAGGCCTTCTTTTCATTCAAGGGAGGTTTGCTAAAGGGAGGTTTGTCCACCGCCGAGTCTTGGGGCGCTCTCGCGCCGTCTGGCCTCTCCGGGAGCCGTTGGAAGGCCTCTGTGGGCTGCCGTTGGGGCTCTTTTTGGGTCCCCTCGGGCAGCCTCGAGGGCTTCTTGGACCGTCTTGGTGGCCTCTCTGGGCCATGTACAGTGGCTCTCTTGGGGCCCTCCTCCTGGCCTCTGGGGCCGTCTTGAGGCCAACTTGTGGGCTGCTTGGGCCGTCGTGGGCCCCCGCGAGAGTCGAAAAGGCGAGAACACGAAAATCCTTCAAAAACCAATGGGGAATCAATGTTTTTGGCATTTGCAAGTGCTCTTGGGGGTCCCCTTGAGGCCCTCTGGGGCTGTCTTGGAGGCCTTTTGGGCCCTCTTGGGGCCATCTTGGACCGTCTTGGGGCCGTCTTGTCCCATCTCGAGGCAATCTTGAGCCGTCTTTAGGCCTTGTTGGACCCCCCAAGAGGCTCCAGGGGCCCACGTCATAGATTTGTCTTTAGTTTTTGTAGGTTTCGAGGCACAGAAGGGGGCCACCATCTATGGTATGATGGATGTGGCGAGGCCTCGGAGGGGGGAGGGTATGGGGGTTTTCGTACTACTGTAAAGCAGTATATTGTGTAGCAATGATGCAACCAGTGGATACATTTGATACTTTGCGTTCGGGCGTTTGCCGAAAAGCTGCCGCTCGGCACGTCACCTCCAGACGTGGATTCCTCTCGCTTCGCGGGGTGCACGTCCAGACTGCGGGAAGCACGGGCGTTTGGAGTTTTCTTGAAGTTTTTGTTCCCCACATCCTAAGTGGGGTTCTTGTTTTCTCTGCACACCCTCCGCGCAGGATCTCTCGTCCTCCTCCCTCTCCTCTGCTCCTCTTTGCTTCCTCCTCCGCATCATCATCACCATCACCATCACTCCCCACTCATCATCATCATCACCATCAGCATCACCATCACCATCCACGATCACTCACCATCATCGGCATCGAACGATCATCATCATCATCATCATCATCATCATCATCATCATCATCATCATCATCATCATCATCATCATCATCATCATCATTATCATCACTACTCGCTGACTTGAGGCTTGAATATGGAGGAAGTGTCAAGCGGGAGCCTGGTCTGTGAGTGAATTGCGAGGAAGTCTCATGCGGGAGCCCCTTCCCTATGGGGCCCGCAGATCATGTTATTAATCCGAGCGGGTCATCGGATTCCTGTAACTGTCGTCACTTTTGGGCTCTTCAGGTCTGAATTTGGAGGAAGTATCAAGCGGGAGCCTCGTCTGTGAGTGAATTGTGAGGAAGTCTCAGGCGGGAGCCCCCTCCCTATGGGGCCCGCAGATCATGTTACTAATCCAAGCGGGTCATCGGATTCTTGTAACTGTCGTCACTTTTGGGCTCCTCAGGTCTGAATTTGGAGGAAGTATCAGGCGGGAGCCTCGTTTGTCAGTGAATTGCGAGGAAGTCTCAGGCGGGAGCCCCCTCCCTATGGGGCCCGCAGATCATGTTACTAATCCGAGCGGGTCATCGGATTCCTGTAGCTGTCGTCACTTTTGGGCTCCTCAGGTCTGAATTTGGAGGAAGTGTCAAGCGGGAGCCTCGTCTGTGAGTGAATTGCGAGGAAGTCTCAGGCGGGAGCCCCCTCCCTATGGGGCCCGCAGATCATGTTATTAATCCGAGCGGGTCATCGGATTCCTGTAACTGTCGTCACTTTTGGGCTCCTCAGGTCTGAATTTGGAGGAAGTATCAGGCGGGAGCCTCGTTTGTCAGTGAATTGCGAGGAAGTCTCAGGCGGGAGCCCCCTCCCTATGGGGCCCGCAGATCATGTTACTAATCCGAGCGGGTCATCGGATTCTTGTAACTGTCGTCACTTTTGGGCTCCTCAGGTCTGAATTTGGAAGAAGTATCAAGCGGGACCCTCGTCTGTGAGTGAATTGTGAGGACGCGTCAGGCGGGAGCCTTCCTATGGGTCCCGCAGCTCACGTGGTTCCTCCGGGTCATCCTCCGGCGCGCGCTTCCTCTGGGTCGTCCTCCGGCGCGTATCGGCTGGGACGCACGTCGTGCGCTTCCTCTGGGTCGTGTTCCGCACGAGGACGAGGAGGAGGAGGATTGCCAGGAAAAGGAGGAGGGATGATGCAGGACGAGACAGGAAAGCAGGAAGAGGAAGAGGCTGAGGGGAGGAAGGACGAGGAGGAAAAGGAGGAGGAGGAATGCCCGAGGAGGCCCCAGTAGGTCCCGGAAGGCCCAGAAGGCTCCAGGAGGCCCCAAGAGGCCCCAGGAGGCCCCAGGAGGCCCCAGGAGGGGGCAGGAGGCCTAAGGAGGAGGCAGGAGGAGGAGGAGGAGGAGGAGGGGGGGGGAGGAGGGGGGGAATAGGAAACGAGGAGGAGGAGGAGGAGGAGGAGGAGGAGGAGGAGGAGGAGGAGGAGGAGGAAGCGGATGAGGGAGAGGGAGAGGAGGAGGACAGGGGATGAGGAGGAGGAGGAGGAGAAGGGAGAGGGAGAGCAGGAGGAGGAGGCAGGAGGCAGGAGGGGCAGGGGGAATGGGGGGGAGGAAGCATAACGAGGGGGAGGGGGAGGAGGTGGAGGAGGCAAGAAGAGGAGGAATAGGCAGGGGTTGAGGCAGGAGGAGGAGCAGTTAGGAGGAGAACGAGGAGGCAAGAGTAGGTGGGAGAAGGGAAGGGGCAGGAGGATACCCCCATGCAAGCTAAAGAGATTCTCATGTGGGGTCCTTCCGTCGGAGTAATTGGAAGCTTC